CACCAATACCACGCTAATGATAGAATACCTAAGTTGCGAAATTAAGATCATAGCCTAAAAAAGGAAGATCGGTCAGAATGATTTCCAACCTACAAACTGAAACAGTGCTCTCCAACCATACTTCTCAACCAGCAGGGAGCCAATCGAGCCGGCCAGGACGGTTCTAAAACAAAATAAAAGGAAATTTTAATAGAAAACACTTATGCTCTAACAAATTTCTTTACACCTTCATATAATACAGCCGTTCTTCCCTGACACTGATTGGGTCACATTTCCAGGGTCTGCCTAATCTGCATACTTTACCAGTACGCATGAAAACGTGTTTCTTAACCCCAACATTTGTGCGATTGATCTCACGCTCTCAACCATAGGTTTTGAAATATCGGTTTGAGGATACAATTGCTCTCAACATCTTTTATGCTGGCTTAACGCCCTACGCATTTAGTCATTTTGAAAAAGCTCACTCTGAGTTCCCAACTTCACTTTTAGCACTCAATAACAGCCTAGACAACAGCTACGACGCATTCTCGCCCAGCTTTTCAGCATTCTAATTTATCAGTCATCATCATTTATCAACTCTGTTTATTGACCAAGCAAATTATTGTTGTTGCAATACCGTTCTTATCAATTGACCTCAATCATTTATTTCACTCACCCGCAATGAGATCCAGCTAGAATAATGCCAAAAACTCGTCCTTTGTCCGCCGCAGTTAGATGGCGACTAACCATTGATGCCATGGAAGGAATATGGAATGCTGAACTTGTATGTTTTATTATAATTTGAAGAACATTTCATGTGCTATTGTACCTTGTCCAATTCCAGTCAGGATTCTGGTCAATAGTAGTACAATCAGCGGAAATCCACACCAATAAGCAAAATCAAAAAGTTGTGGTGTAAAAAATGTCAACACTATCCATGTAAGGCTAGATATCGGTAAAATATTCTCTCCACCAAAAGCATCGGCAAATCCTCCGGCTATCAGTTGGGTTACGGCGTAACCCCAGAAGAAACATGATAATACCGTACCCTAAATATGAGTACTTAGTTATCGATTAACCTGCATGCGCGCAAACGTGTGCGCGACTAGTCGATAAGTGCAGACGTACTGAATCGGTTTTGTTCCAACTGAATTCCTTAGCTACAGCTGCTGCACATATTGGTAAGGCTACGCGTGAAGCATAGAGTACGCTAGTTCCAGTGAATAACGTTACCGTCCAAATTCGTGATTCTGTCC